CACAAGCCTCCACTGACAGACGGGTGGTGCCTCTTCTCTGCCTCTCTGTCTCTCTGCCGTGTCTCTGTCCTGGGTAAGTGTCATCTGTGCTGGCAGGTGAGTGAACCTGGAACATCAGGACAGGTAGTAGTAGAAGGGTATTCCAAGGAGACCTCTAATCCTCTCTGGGAAGAGACAGAGAGAGCCCCATATTCCCCAAGGGCAGTAGGGGCACCCATTAAAACAAGCTGTGTGGCCTCAGTTGTTCTACACTATTAGGATCTGGAAGACAAAACCAAATTTGCCAGAACTATAGGAAATCCTAGCTCCCTGGCAGCTCCCTGTTCTTTTCATAGAAGTGTTTGTAAATAGAGTCCTAGGCAGGATCCCACTGAACCAGTGCCTCTCTGAAATCTGTTTGTGCCCCAGAGAGGGCAAAGTAGATATAGAACCCCAGTCCAAGTTCTATAGACAGCCCAAAGTCCTCTGAGCCCCTGAGGGGGAGTCCTGAAGCACAGACATTCCCTGTGAAGGCCATAAGCTCTGCAAACACCCAATGCTGGCAGGACAGTCTGGGGCCTTAAATTCTCGGCAGCACCCACGGGAAGCCTCCAAGAAGTATGCAGTCTGGAAGTCTTCCAAGATGGGGAAATTGGTGTGCTGCAGAGTCCAGTAGTACAGAGCAGTCCACCAGCTCTCACGAAGGAAAAGGATGAAGCCCAGAAAAAAAATATATTTGAGAGTTCAAAAGATTGAATCCAAGTTTAGTTGTTCTCTTTTTTGAAATCATTTCTAAAACTGTTTTTTCCTTGTCTGTGTCTCTCTCTGTAGGTGGCTGCTAGGTTCCCTGATCCCTGAGGCTGGACCCAGGCCATGGTGCAGCCTCTCCCTCTTCCTGTCAAGGCAGTTACACAGTGAAGCCCCTCTCACCCCTGACCCCTGATGGAGGTTCTAAGCAGAAGCTACTCGCCACTTTTCTAGGTCTGGACCTGAGGCCCTGGAACGACAGTCAAGAGACTCCAACACAGGTATAAGGAGCCCCACCCAGGGACAGGTGTTTCAGGAAGGAAACACAGGAGGTCAAAGGAGAAACCACAAGGTTGGAAATGAGTTGGATGAGACTTGTTATGGGAGCATGGGACCTGCCATCAGGGGAGGGTCTGTCAGTGTTGGAGACTCCTGGGGCCTCCAGGTGAGCTCAATATGGTAGCAGGAGCAGGCAGGAACAGAGATGTTCCAAAGCCAAGGACAGACACACTTGGTGCTGAGTGGCAAACAAGGCACATATATGAGGAAGCTTAAGAGCAACCTTCTGTAGAGGAACCAGGCTGAAGAGATCTGTAGCATCCCTCAGTCTCATGTCTCGGGGACAGCAAGCTCCCACTTGGAATCCCTTTTTGGGTAAAGCCATCTGAAGTCCGGGGACAGGAGTACTCCAGGTACAGAGATAGGTCTATTCATGAGGGTTCTAATGAAATGCACTCTTTTCTGAGTTTTGGCTGTGTGTGTGCATGTGTTCATCTGGGTATTTCTCATGATAAACCAGATTTGATGATGTATTTTTCTGGACCCATTTACCTTCATCTCAGACTATTTTTATTCATTCATTTCCAGGTAATTACAGTTTTAGAAGAAGTATACAAAGGGGGCTTCAAAAAGTTCATAAGAAAATTCCATGATCTTTAAATTCCATTTTTTACAAACTTTCTGAAGCCTCCTCATATAGCTAACTAGCCACTTGAGAACTGAGAGCATTCTCCCACTAGAATCTTCACCAACGACGATGCACAGTTGCAGCTACAGGCGGCCCTAGCTTCAGTGACTGACAGCTTCAAAATTCACTAGTCTGCCTGTGAACTGTTCGTCTGGTAAGGGAGAAAGGAATGATCTCCATGTAGCGGTAAGGTTGGTAAAGTAGAGGACCAATGAAAATGAGGAAGCTCCTTAATAAGATGGGTTGACCCAGTAAGGCTGGATCAACCCTGGGCAGTGTTCTGTTCTGTTGTGTATAGGGTGTCTATGAGGTGGAACAGACTCGATGAGGTCTTCTGATCAGGAATTTCATGCGGGTTCCACCCACAGTCCTATTTGTCCCATGATATTTCTGGAACCCAACCCAAGAGGAGACAGTATCATGTGACATTTTATGATGGGCCCCAAAGGCAGGAGTTCACTTGAAGTGTCAAGATGGAAATAAACTTTCCACACATGGGTTGTGCGGTCCAACTTCAGGCCAAGGAGTGGATGGAGGCATAGTAGGCATAGTCCATGGGTCCTAGGTCCCGTGTTATGGTGTCACTGACACCAGGTCTCCAAGGAAGGCCGGGAGTGAGAAGGACTGGTGAGGGGAAGAGAGGACTCATGCATATTACAGTACAATCTTCCACCACATCCCCACCACCCAGCTCCCACATGCCCCAGGCTGAGGCTAAGGCCAGTGTAGCCTCTGATAAGTCACCTCAGCTCTCCTTGCTCCCTTCCCCTTGCTTCATACTTACCCCATTTCTCCTATAGGGAGGAGAGTCAGGGTTTGCCTGGGTCACTCCTCAGGGTTGGGAGTCTTCTCTAGGCACACCTTCAGCAGCTATTCCAGTCCTGCCTCAGTTGCCGTGCTACAGAGAGCTTATCATTTTATTTCAAAGGAGAGCTTGGCTTCCACTTGCTTCCTTCCCTTGTATTGGTTTCCACAGCTGCTGAGGTCATGCCTGGTTGGATTCTTCTTGAGGGCCGCTGTGGGCTGCCATGGGCCTCCCCCAGCAAGGATATTCCTATTCAGGACCACAACGTCCTAAGTAGCTACCCCATCTTTCCACAGAAGCACAAGACTTCACAGTGTAGATTTGAGCCTCATGCTGCCCTAGGGATTAGATCATGCCTTCGCATGGAGTAGGGTGATAAGACAACTATCAGTGGGTCCATGGTGCTGGACTTGGTATAGTCCATGTCCTATCAGCTGGGGTGGATGTCCCCTGGCCAACTATGGGGTGGGCACTGGGGCCCTCTTAGAAGGCCAGCTGTACTCTTGGGGGCTTTTAAGCCTGGATGCCTGACTTCGAGTCTATCTCATTGTGAGTGAATTAATTGTTGTGCAACCCAGAGTGGTGAGACAAGTTAATTACATAATTACTGCAAAATGACATGTTATTTCATGGCTGCAATATGGTAACTCTGTTGGAAACAACTGTAATTGCCCAGAAACTGCATTCGAGTGGCTCCGTTATGTGTCGATAGCCATGTAATTAACTTGCGTAACAACTTCATCTGCAGCAAACTCTGATGGTACGAGTTGGGGCCCTTGGGGTGGGCATAGTCATCCTAGACCTAAGGGCCTGGCATTGGGGGCTCTGCTACAATCCAGGAATTGCTTTGTGCTTTCCAGGCAAGCAAGAAAATGCCTCATAGTGAACACCAGCCCTCTGTGTCTCTCCCTATACAGTCAAACTCAGTCAACCTCACACCTCTCCAGGGTCACACTCACACGGGACCCATGTTACATGTTAACACCTGCTGCAGCCAGATCAATGTGCTCCTTTTCATTGACAATGGAAGACCCCAAATTGAGACCATCTACCCCAAAGTCCTAATGGTCTCCTCCTAGGGCTGGACCACTGGCCACCAAACCACATCTTGGAGAGGTATCCCCCCCAACCCCTGCACCCGTAAGAGCACAACCCACTTACTCAAAGTGAAGGGGCACATCCCACCCTATCCCAGCCTTCCTTGCCCAGGCTGGGCCCATGAGCCTCCTCCCTTCTTAATCCCATTCACTGATACCTTGTTCAGTGCTTGGCTCTGTGCTAGGCACTGTGGCTGCAGCCAAGACCAAAGTAGCATCCCTGCTGCGCTCGGTGAGCATCTTGGTGTCTGTCTGTCTAGGCTGGCCTGGCTGTCTCTGACCCACCAACTTGTCTGCTAGTCTCTGCTGTTTCCTGATGTGGCCCTCTCTCCTGTCTGCTAGTATGTGTACCCATCTGACTTTGTGTCCAAGGACTTGTCTGTCTCTGAATCTTCACAGATGACTGTGTCCACAGGATGGAGCAGGCCCATCACAGGTCTCCGTCAGTGTTCTGTCCTTACCAGGATGAGGACTTGCTCTCCTGGCTTTTCTGCCTCCCACCCCCCACGTCGAGTTCCTCAGAGCAGGCACTGTGTCTGACCCCTACTTTATCCATATATTTGATTTGCCCTGGGTGGCATCAGTTGGCAGCACAGGATTAAACACACAGAGAAGGTGTGTTGACTGACTGCAGGAAAGCCTCCAGCCAAGGAACACAGGATTGTTTTCGCCCACCCACAGAGCAGAGAGCTGGGCTTCATGTCAGTACCAAACAAATGCTGTCTGTCTCCCTGAAAAGGAAAAGGGGCCTACAAATGGGGCTGGCTTGGTGGGGAAGCTCAGGATTTAGTCTTCCTGTGGAGGAAGACCTGTTTGGAGCAGTCAATCTGAGGTCTCAGTAGGGAGATAGTTAGGAACACTCTTGGGGGCTTGCTCAGGGCCAGGGTATTTGCTCTGCTCAGGAAGCAGGGAAGACACCCAGTTCCCACATCTGGGGTGGGGTGTTTCCATGTTGTCTCCCTCCCTCCAACTGCTTTCCTCTAAAGCCAGCCTGGAGACCTCTTGCTGACAACATGCTCCATGCCCCAGCCCTTGAGGGACAATGATGAGGGCCTTGTCCCTCCCCAAGCAGAAGGGAAGGGGCCACAGATCTGTGACAGTCACGTGAACAATGCAGAACAACCTCCCCGGAAACATTCATAAGTTTAATCCACGCCAGTAATAAAATCGCATTACATTTCTCATAAAATAAATGTTCCCATTTATATACAGAAGACGGACTGTACAGGCCCAGCCTGGCCCCAGGAGGGTCACACACAGACAGGCAGCGGCAGTGGAGGAAGGGCCGTCCCTCCCATTGAGGATGGAGAAGTTCTAATGCGGCAGGAGAGTGGCTGGCCAGCCGGGTGAGCGGGTAGACAGACGGGCAGACGGACAGATGGGCCTGAAGGCCATGCGCCAGGCGTTACTGAACCTGGGACTCAAAGGTACCATTGAGTTGGCCCTCCTCATAGTCCATCTGACACAAGATCATATTGTTCTTCAGGAAGAATTTGTCTCCCACACAAAACCTGGAAAATCCAAGCAAGAAAGAGAGAGAGGCATGGGACAGGTCCCAGTGGGTAGTGGGGGCTCCAGACAGACCTAGCCTGGCCCAGTGGGGTCAGCGGGGCCAAGATGTATACTCCTTGAACTTGCCATAATGTTCTTGTTGTAAGTGCAGTCTGTTGAGTTGGTTCCAACTCATAGTGACCCTGTATAGGGCTTTCTGAGTAGCAGTTGGTAGATTTGAACTTCTGATTTTGGGGTTCACAATCCAGTGCAGATGCTATAGTGCCATACCAGGAGTCCATGCCATAACAGAGGGGTATTAAAAGTACACCCCTAACCTGGACCATGACCTCAGATCAGTCCAGCCTGCAGCCAGGCCCTGCAGTCTAGGTTGGGAGGACAGACAGTCCGCCTGGGACACAGGCCTTCCTTAGCTAGCTCTCCCATGGAGGTGGGGGCCAGGGTGGCATTGGCAGGAAGGTGCAAGAAAAGCCTACCCTAGTGTTGTAGGACAAGCACTGGACTACAAGGTCAGTTTAAACTGCAAGGTCGGCAGTTCAAACTCACCAGCCACTCCTGGGAAACCTTATATAGGGTCACGATGAGTCAGAACTGACTTATGGCATTTAACAGCAACAGCAGTCCCAGAGTAAGGAGCCCTGGTGGCACAACTAACAAGCGCTTAGCTGCTAGCAAAAAGGTTAGTGGTTCAAAACCACCCAGTGGCTCCATAGGATAAAGACCTGACAATCTGCTCCTGTAAAGATTAAACAAACAAACAGGAAACCCACTGCCACTGAGTTCGTTCTGAATCATAGTGACCTGTGTACACTTTCCAAGACTACAGGTCTTTAAGGGAATAGACAACCTCATCTTTTCAGAGTCTGGTGGGTTGAAACCGAGCCTCTGCAGTGAGCAGCCCAATGCTTAACCCACAGAACCAGCAGGGTGGCCTAGAAAATCCTGTGACATAGTCTACTCTGGTACATGGGTTTCACTATCCATCCAACATGGGCTTGGTGGCACCTAAAAACAACAGTTCTACAGAGAGAGAGAGAACACAGAAACACAGTAAGACCAAGAGAGGAAAGAAGTGCAGAGAGGTAGACATGGGGGCATGGCTGACCTTCCCAGACCTCGGTTCCTTCCCCCAGCTTAACAGAGGGCTTTGTGAAAGGCACTCTTCACAGGGTCTGTGGGGTTCCAGGGATGTCTTTCCAAGAGGAGGTGACCCTAGTCCCACATCCTCTTCCCTAAGAAGGCCCTACTTTGTCCCTCAGTCCTACTCAAGCCTTGTTCCAGCCTTCTCCAAAGATGTTCCCAGAGCAGTCATAGCCTTGAGAATGATCCCCCAGGATCACAGGCCTAATTCCAGAAGATCCCAGTCCTACCACCAGGTGGCGATGCAACTTCACCAAGTCCAACTAGCAGTGAGTCGGCCTGGAGCCCCATTCAGACCAACGTTCCTTGCAGGTCCCTGTGGGCCTCGCCTTCTAGAAACACTTGTATGAGCTCCTACCAGACTGGGGTGCTCCTGAGCAAAAGGGCTGAAGGCTCTGCTCTCTAGATCCCTGGGGGCTTCCACAGGATTGGGGGACTGAGTAGGGACCAAAAGATCAGAAAGGATGCAGGACTGCAACCAGAGTCACAGGAGTAGGGTCAGGATGGAGGGGTCATTCCCTGCAGGGTGTTTGTTCTCTTTTTCACATAGGATGTACATGCAGACATACATGTAGATAGTACATGCACAAGGACACAGGGCACACAGATATCCTCCCTCACACGTGGATATTTAAAACCCATGTACACACATGCCTAATTGCTCCACCGTGCACATGAGACACAGTGTATGCACACGTACCCCTTGCACATGGATACATGCATACATGCACATGCATATTCCCACCATGCACATTCAGAAAACTCACACATTAAAAAAAGCAAAACCCACACTGTCTTTGAGCTGATTCCGTCTCATAGCGACCCTGTGTGTAACAGAATGGAACTGCTCCATAGGATTTTCTTGGCTGTAATGTTCTGGGTGGGTTTGGACAGCCAGTCTTTAGGTTAGTTAGTAGGAAAGCACAAACTGCCACCTAGGGGCCTCATGCATATTCCCATCTACATTCACACAAAAATGTTCCACACAAATGTGCACACAGAGTCCATGAGCGCACGCATTTGACTACAGGGCTTAGGCACACATAAGACAAATCTGTAAATGTGTGCCCCTGACAACTTGCAAGCTACGCCTAAAGCCATGCACGCACAGAAACTGCATTTGCACGCATGCATGCCACGACAGGGCTCCTGGTCTGACCCAGTAGGCCTCAGGCTAGGTTCTGATGGGTGTGTTGGGTCCACCGCCAGGCCAGAACTCACCTCTGGTTGCAGAGTTGGCAGGCAAAGCAGTCGAGGTGATACACGTTGTCCCGGGCCCGCATCACCATCTCAAAGGCTGGGATCAGCTTGCTGCAGGCAGCGCAGTTTCCAGTGGTGCCGAAAAGCCTGCCCAGGAAGAGTACAGAGGGTTCACATTGAAGGGGCAGCTTCCAGCTAGGGCCCATGCTGCCCTCCACACCTGTGGACTTAGCAGTTGGTCTGGGCAACAGGGCAGGAACCCAGGTGGCAGAGCTAAGATTTTGACAAGAAACTAGACTTCAGAGACATTGGCACACCTGTCCAGGAGGCTGGTATCTGGAGTCAGGGGTCAGCTGACACTATCTATCCCTGGGCTGACAAGGACCCCTTCCCTGGCTCCCAGTAGGGTCTCTCAAGCAAGTGGGGGGCCACCAGCAGAACACCGAGCTGGTAACTGAGCTATGGCTCCAGACTCACAGAATTTTAGAGACCGTCATTGAATCATGCATGAGTTGTATGTCCTCAGGCAAGTCACTGAGTCTCATTTACCTAAACTGAAAAATGGGGGTAAACTATATCCTTCACAGGGTTGTTGTGAAAACAGTTGAAAATTCTCACTCACAACTCATTGATTAGACACCTCTGGAGCATTTGTCAGACACTGTTTGTTCTGCAAGCTCCGCAAAGCATCTTGGTAACAGCGCCATGAAACAGGTACTATTGTTATCTTCACTTCAAAGATAAGGGGGCACAGAGAGCTAAACAACTTGCCCCAAGTCACAGAGTCTGACTCCAGAGAGTGTGTTCCTACCCACTGCGTAATGTTACCTCCCCATTTTAAGAGTACAGGGTTGTTGTTGTTAAGTGTTGTTGAGTTGTTCTGACTCAGCAACCCTGTCTAGGGTTTCCAAGGAGCGGCTGGTGAGTTTGAACCACTGACACTGAAGTTCAAAATGACCTTGCAGTCGAGTGCTTATCCTACAGTGCAAGAGTATATGATATTAATATATTATTTTTCTGCTATCAACTCATGGTATGACTTACCTAGGCCTCTTCCTTTTACTGAGTCTCAATTTATTCCTTAGTAAAATGGGGGCTGTTAGACTAGACACTCTCTTCAACGATCCTTCTAAAATAGAAGTGGTGCCAAAAGGAAGCCCCAAGGACACTTGGCACAAATGCCTCTTTGAGGCAGCACTCCTCCTCTTACCCGCTGGTTGCACACCTCTAAGGACAAGGAGCTTACTTCTCCTCCTCACACAGGTCAATCCTTAAGTGGTTGGTCCAACGATCGGAGCCAATCAGGTTCCTCCTTGCTTCTTGTTTGCACACTAGCACAACAAGCCCCCAGCAAGGTGTTGTTGTTGTTGTTAAGTACCATCAAGTCGATTCCGACTCATAGCGACCCTGCATAGGGTTTCCAAGGAGCGACTGGAGAGCCGGAACCACCGACCTTGCGATCAAATGATCTTGCAGTCTGGTGTGTTCACCCACAACGCCACACCAGGACTCCCCTCAGCAAGGTAAGGGGGCTAAAAATGTGGGTGTGAGGCCCGCTAATCCCTGATTTGTCCAGCTCAAGTTCAGGTGCTGCAGACAGACTCTGGCTCCATTATTCATCAGTTTGAGCTGCCTTGTGGCTCATATTAAGGCAGACAAAGGCTGGGAGGCAGCATCTGCTGGCCAAGACAAGCCTGTCTTGCCACCAGCCCAATGAGCTGCAGAGGGGAGGGCTCTGAACAGCCATCCTCTGGGACTGAGAAACTCAATGAAGCCTCAACCCCATCCCCAGCTTACCAGCTTCCTTGGTCTAAAAGTAATTCCTTTTGCTCTTAACCAAAGCCCAGATAAAAACACCTTCAGCCCCCTGCAGCTGTCAGGACAGGGCCCAAAGTGCTTATGAGTGCTCTGGCTTGGCTGAGCAGGTAGTCCTGTGTTGTGATCCTTCCTTTCCAAGTTCTGGGGGCCCATTAACACTCTGCCAGCTCGCCACACCCTGGTAGGTTCACCCTAAGGTCTGTCCCAGATCTTAGAAGGGGGAGTCCCCAGGAGCATCCTTCTTCAACCAACATTCCTAGCTTCCACCTTTCCCTTCTGGTCCCAGCCTGGAGCATGGAGTCACAGATTCTGATTTATTGCTTCACTTTTAAAAACTCATGCAAAAAGCAAAAGGTAAAAGAGAAGGTGTAGGCAACTAGATCTCAGGCTCTTTTGGGAAGTGGGGGAACCTCCAATGATAACCTCCTTCCCACCTCTCATGTCCAGATCTAAGCAAGGGGAGCGCCACATAGCCTCTGCTCCAACCTGTTAATGAATGCACTGGGCCTTCCTTCCCACAAGGCCCGGCCACCATCCAGCAGCCTTCAATTGAGCCAAATGCAGATGCTGGGTCTCAGCCAAGGACCCTGCTTCATGGCTTCCTTCCAGCCTTGATGATGTCATAAATGGCCTAAAGGAGGGTTAATTGGGGGAGGCAGCCTCAGGGAATAAGGATCCAGGTTGTTGGGGGGAGGGGAGGTTGAGCTCTGGGGAATGCCAGGCAGGGAGGCAGAGCCCCATTATTGGTTTCACCACTTCAACAAGGAATAAACTAAGGCTGAGAGAAGGGCATAAACCCAAAAGCTCAGAGCTCATTCAAACCCAGGTCTAGAAGTTCTAACATCAACTCCTGTTCCTAGCCTCCACCTCTCCCTCTGCCAGGCTCCCTAGGCATATGGACTGCCTCATTCCCAAGGCTGCCTAGAACAGGAGGGAGGTGAGCACTGGGGAGAAATAGGAAGGAGACTTCATCAGGGCAGAGGGGCCCACAGAAGTCAGAGCTTCCTCATCTGCGCCCCCCAGTCCCTCTGAGATCCCAGGACAGGTGAGTCAGAAGCACCTGACAAAGGCAGGAGCAGAGTCTCCTCAGGCTCTCTCAGGAAGCTTATCTCAGGTGCCCATCAGGTATAAATGGTCTGAACCAGTGCTGGGCACTGAGGATAAAGTTACAGACATGGCCCTTGATATCTGGAAAGGCAGGACTGTCAGGGATGATGGACACACAGACTGGGTCGACATCAAGGGACAGAGTCACACCGAGTCCTGAATGACTAGGATGGGGGGCAGCCCACCTTAGGTAGTCACGCCGGCACAGGATGAGGTTAGCCTTGGTGTAGAGGGTGGAGCCCACTTCGCCCAGGCGGCAGTCACAGCAGGCACATTTGAGACAGTCTTCGTGCCAGTACTTGTCCAGCGCCTTCAGCAGGTAGCGGTCCTTGATCTTGCGGTTACAGCCTGCACAGCCCTTCTGCTTCCCTTTGGGCTGGACGGAGAGCATCGGCATGCCTGTGGACAGACAGACAGACAACACAGGACTGACACTGTGGCTCCTCAAAGAACTTCCTGTGGAAATAGCACATCCCTTAGGAGTGTGGATGGGAGGACTCACTGCTTCTCTTAGCTGGCCACTCCAGAGCTGGGGTTCTCATGAGTCCTCACTTTATCCCTAATAACCTCTTTCTTTGAACTTCAAGGCATAACCTGTTCCTTAGACCCTGAGAAGATCCCTTCAGAGGATGAAGGCGGCGACAGGAACCCCAAGTCTGCGCTGCTCCAGGTCACATATACAGCCTCAGGCAAGGGCCTTCCTGAGAGGTTTCTCCCCATCTCAGATACTGCTTCCTATGTGGTTCCATCCAGAGGTAGCCTGCAGCCCAGCTCCTGAAGCCAGGATTCCATTGGCTCTTTCAGAAACTCTAGAGTCTCATGAGCTTGGGGCCCACTAGGACTTCCAACTCTTTTTGCCATCTCAAATCATCCTCACAATGTTTGTATGTGAACATTTTAACCTAAATGATCAGGCTACAGTAGTTTTATGTTGTTTTTAAAATTTGTTCATGTAGAAATACATTGTTGTCACTGTTGTGTGCTGTCTAGTCAATTCCAACTTGTAGAGGGTTTCCTTCCAAGAGCAGCTGGTGTATTTGAACTACCAACCTTGTGGTTAGCAGTCTAGTACTTATACTACAGTGCCACACCAGGGCTATGTTATTAAGTGCTGTTGAATCCAGTCCAACTCACAGTGACCCTGTACAGGATTTTGAAGGAGTGGCTGGTGAGTTTGAACTGCCAACCTTGAGGTCCAGGGGTTATCCTACAGCTCCATACTAGGACTCTACACCAGGGCTATTGGGGTATTTTAAAACAAGGTGAAATGAAATGCCCTCTGACACCCTCAGGAGAGAGCAAGTGGCTCTGGAGACCCTGGCACTTGCTGGGACGCAGCTGGGCCTGGCCTAGATAAACCTCTACTCAGGACTGTTGCTAGCAGGATGAAAACTTGTCAGTTGCCCTGACCTGAGGGAGACGAGGTTGTGAGCCTCTGGATCCTCATACCTCCCACCAGGATAAGAATCTCTGAGCCACCAGTCCCTTCCCAGGGCTCATGCAAGCGTCCCAACCTACAACAAAGCACCATGTGTGGTGTTCCCCAAAGGGGCAGGGCCTCCAACTAGGCCATACACACACACACACACATACACAAGTGTGCACACATGCACACAGAGTAATGGACTCCTAGCCCCTCCTCTAAGGTGACTACAGGGAGGGATGGTTGAAGAGGTGGTGAGGACAGTGCCTGGAATTCCATGTGTTCACGAACCTCCTGAGGCTTGGCTGTGGTGAAGAACCTCAGGGAGTCTCAGACAGGCTTGGCTTGGAAGGTAGTCTGAGAATTCCTCATGCAGATGGGTGCAGGGGAAGGGAGCTTCCTTTCCCAAACAAGCTACTCCTCTTGAGGGAAGTGCCCACCCTCCCAGCCTCTCTGGCTTTCCAAGAAGCCCCTGCAATTTTCATCTCCAAAGTTCCCTGCTCTCTCTATCCTCCCAGCCCCAGGCATTCCTCACATTCCTGTCCCATACTCACTGCCTTGCTTGGTCAATGCCCTTGCTTTCCCTTCCTTCCTATCCGATATGATCTTTTCTAGGATTTCAAAAAGGAACCAGCCACCAAGAGTCTCAGATCCACAGACGACAGGTAAGAAGGGCGCTCAGAGTTCTTCTAGTTACATGTCCTTATTCTACAATCAAGGAAACTGAGGCCCAGATGGATACAGGGGCCAGTGTAAGTCACTGATCAAGCTGGCCCCAGTGCTCCTCCCCTCCCTGTGCTTTCTCAGCCTGCTGCCTCCTCAGGCTTCTAGTCCCTGGGCCAGGGCGGCCCTCCAGAGCTCAGGGCCATAGGGAACAGGTGAAGGATGGACAGGGCATCCACAGGCTGCTGTGGGTGGGGGCCCTCTCCTCCCGCTCTCCTCCAGTCCCCGCAGGGCCTGTCTGTTAGCTGGAAAGTTTGCTGCCTAATTTCCTTAATGCAGCTCTAAAGGTTAATTGGTCTGAGAGAGTGATGAGGCTTGGAATAACTGTGTCCACAGTCTGCCTGGGTCTTCTCCTCCTGACAGGGCCCAGCCCAGGCTCAAGCTCTGAAGAGCTCATATGAGTCAGTTGGGGTACAGACACCCTGAGAACTGAGGGGATCCTGTGGGGCTCCTTCTGAGGCCACTGCATAAGCATATGGACAAATGGGAGGGGGAAGAAAACTTCAAAATATCTGGGGGCTCAGAGGTAAGGCGATTGCAGGGGTGGCTTCTTGTTGTTAAGTGCCGTCAAGTCATTTCTTACCCACAGCAACCCCGTATAGGGTTTCCAAGGAGCGGCTGGTGGGTTTGAACCACCAACCTTGTGGGTAGCAGTCCAGTGCTGGTCCTACAGATCAGTACCAGACCCCCGGGGTGACTTAGGCATTCTGTTTACCAGGATAGCTGTGCATATAAATGCTAACTTGGAAAATCTCAGGCCAGGCCTTGGCACAGCACCCACAGAGCTGATTTCCCCTTCACTCATCTGGCCTTGTTCCCTTCCTAGCAACTCAGGGTCCCTTCCAGGGCTCTGCAGTTACTGTTGTTAGGTTCTGTTGAATTGGTTACACCTCATAGAGACGCTGTGTACGGTTCCCAAGGAGCAGCTGGTGAGTTTGAACCACTGACCTTGCAGTTCAAACCGACCTTAAGGTCCAGCACATTATCCCACAGCGCCACCTTTACTATTACTAGCAGATGCATGAATGGCTAAAGAACTCTGGTAGTGTAGTGGCTATGAGATAGACTGCTAACCTCAAGGTCAGTAGTTCAAAACTACCAGCCGTTCCGTGAGAGATTGATGAGGCTTGCTGCTCCCGTAAAGATTAACAGCCTCGGAAACCCTATACAGGGTCACTATAAGTAAGAACGGATTCTATGGCACACCATCACCACAACCACATGAATGGCTACATCATCCATACTCAGGGGGCACACATGAAGTTACACCCCAAGATGAAAGGGAACAGTGAGACGCACCAGCAATATCTTCCTTCTTCCATTTTACTTCCTGACATGGCTATTGGATGGGTTGATCTTCGAAGCTCATCCCTCTTCCTTTCGGGGCCTCCACAGGCACCTTTGGCTTTGGGCCCCAGCACCCAACCACTGAGTAAGCTAATCACCAACAGGGCAGACCCTGTGGAGGCCATAAGGCACAAAGCACCAAGCTGCCCCAGGTCCCCTACTTCCTGCTATGTGTAGGATCAACCTAGTACACAGCAGCTGCCTGTAAAAGGCTGGGTGTCTGGCTCTAGGCTGCTGAGTTTGAAGAACTCTTAGAATCAAAAACACAGAACACCAAGGTCAGCTTGGAAGGCAGATCTAGAGAAGCAGAGATCTTGGGAAAAGGACCTAGGACTGGTTAGTGCAAGCCCAGTCTGCAACCCTCTAGCCATGTGAGTAAGTCTCCTAGTTTTTCAGGGCCTCCGTTCCCCATCTGACAAATACGGAAAATTGAAACAACCCCGTTCCTCATAGGATGGTGGACGAGATCTGGCAGTCACATGACAGTCACCCTTTCCTTCTTTCAGCCATGACTGATGGAGCACCCACCACATGCCACTCCTAGAAAGGTCTAGTTGTTGTTAAGTGCCATCGAGTTGGTTCCAACCCTGTTCAGGGTTTCCAAGGAGTGGCCGGTGTTTGAACTGCCGACCTTGTGGTTCAAACTGACCTTTTGATCCAATGCTTATCCTATAGTACCACACCAGGACTCCCCTAGAACGGTAAAGGGATTTTAAGAGGGGCAGCTATAGTTTCCTGCTCCCCAAATCAAGAGAGATTTTCCTCCCAGGGGGTCCAGCTCTCAGGCCCCCTCCCAACCCTCCATCCAGTCTGCCAGTCCACCCACAGACACCTCTCTCTTTCCTCCTCCCCTCCTGGCTCTGGGAGCTGCGGGCCATGCACTTTCCATTAAGGAGAGTACATCCCTTGCTGAAGTCCATTTGGGATCCATTTTAGTGTTATCTAAAAATCAAATCTACATGGTAATCCTTTTAATGTACTCCTGACTTTAGAAAACACAGCCTTGCGCTCCTTCAGGAAAGGTTTTAAAGCATTACCGAGTAATTACTACTCACCCATGAAAACACTGATCTTTTACAACGGGTGATGTTTTTCGCCTGTATGCGTGCATTCGAGGGCACACGTTCAAATACACATGCAAAATACACCCATTCACTAAGCCAGTGTGTCACCTCCAAATTCTAAGGTGTGTGTGTGGGGGGACAATATTTGAAGGCCAAACTCCTACCCCTACCTCTGCTGTGTGGGAATGGGGGGTGGGGGTGGGCACTGATGGTGGCAGGAGGCAGTCAGGCTGTGGAAAGAGCCTCCCAGTCTGACTCATCGGCTGCCAGATACTTACCTCAGTTCTTTAATCTGAGGAGAAGCCAGACAGTCCGGGTGACAGGGAGGGACAGCCAGAGGTCATCCTGCTCCTCCCACACTCTCCTTTCAGCTGGGAGAGAAGCCTTCTCTTCACATGGACCCCACAGGTTCCCCGCTCCTCCTACCCACCTTCCCAGGCTGCCCCTCAGGTTCAGTGGGGGAATTTTTCCAAACTGCCCAGTCGGCAGGCCCACAGTCCCTTCAGCTTGGACAGTGGCCTAAGTCCAGCACTCCCACTGTTCAGTCACCCCTTTCCCCCACTCCACCCCTTGTGCCCCCAGAGAATCCCTCCAAGGAAATCTAGCCTGTCCTATCCAGGGTCACTGCAGGTAAAGCCTCATGACTCGCTTGCTGGAGTGATTGTGGCCACCTTTGGCAGCTCTGGGCTGGAATAGGAGACCCCTGCCACCTCCCCCCCCCCCCCCACCCCCACCCCACACACACACACACATAGGCCAGTGTGTCCTGCTGGATACAGAATGCCCTTGAGCAATGCTCCTTGCCATCCTATGACAGGATATTGTTTGCCTCTGGCCCAGGGCTTCCCTCCACTACTGCTCCAGGAAGCCAGGCTTTTCTTCTGCCCATCAGAACTTCCCATACAAGGTCAGAGTCAGAGTGTTCAAACCTGAAACTCAGTTTAGTTTCGAGTCTGGAACTACCCAAGTAGCCAAAGGGCCTGGGCACCCGTAACTGGTAATATTATTAACACTCACAGCCAGAGTGTCTTCCCTGTTCTGACACCGGTGTCTGTTCCCTTTAACTTGTTATTTTGAGATTATTTCTAACTTTAGGAAAAGTCTTAAGAATAGTAGAAAGATCAGAACAGGGATAACCCTTGAAAGCATCATGCTAATGAAAGAAACCAATCACAAAAGACCATATATGAGTTCATCTACAATTCCATATAGATGAACAGACAAATCCACAGAGACTGAAAGTAGATTTGTGGTTGTGTGGTGCTGTAGGATAAGCACTGGACTGCAAGGTCGGTTTGAACCATGAATTCAGTG